AAAAAAAAAAAAAAAAAAAAAAAAAAAGACCATATGGGCAAACGGTGACCTGTGGGGACTCCACCTGGCTGCTGCACCAACAGTGTCTCCTGAGAATTTCCAGGAGGCCGGATGCTGGATTAGGTCAGTGCAGTTGGGAGGTTTGCATTGGAAGTATCAGAAAACTGAAAGGTATCACTCGTGACTTGTAAAACCTGGAGTAACCCTGGCTAAACCAAGAGGTTCCAGCACATATCATTATAATTTTGCCCTTCACCTGTTTTTATTCTGATTTCTGCTCCCACACAGACCACCATATGGTGGCTCCAGGTCTTATATTAGTTGGTTCACAGTTTTACAAAAGCGAAGCCTCCCACATCCCCACTCACCCAGCTCCCTTGATGAGGCTGTGGATCCATCCTGGGCCGCCTGAGTTCAGGAGGAACTGACTTGCTGACTGGACTGTCCTAGTCACATGCCTGACTGTGGGGCAGGAGAGGAGACAGCTGTCACCCAGCCACAGGGATGGAGGACGGCAGGGCTGGCTCCCACAGCGAGCTCCAGATACCTGAGGAAGGGAGGCAGGGAGGCAGAGAAGGCGAGCCCCACAAGGCGAGAGCACAGGCTGAGGAAGGAGAACACACACGGCTCACTGTCAGGAAAACCTAACCCTGTAGCTCCAGATGAGCTATTTGGAGAACCAAGACGGAAGGCAGGCTCTCGTGGAGGCGTCCTCACCACAGCCCACATCGAGTCCTTAGGGCGCATCTCATCTTGCTCTTCCTGTTTCACTCAGCTCAAGCTTGCTTTGCAGAGTCAGTTTCTCCCTCACTCTTCAAATGACCTTTGCTACAGTTAAAAAAAGAAAAAAGGACAGGAAGCCACTAATTTGAAGAAACTTAGGATCAGTGAGGGTATTTTACAAAAGTTGGCATCTTTGGGGCCTTGAGCACGTGAAGCTTTTGATCATTGAAAATGACAAGAGGAGATAAGGGACTGGACCAGGGCACTCATGGCGAGGAACATACCGTTCCTCAGGTACTCTGAGGCCCCGAGGGGCTGTGCGCTGGGAAGACGGCAGACCTCTGGGTTGTGGGCACGCAGGCTGGCGCACACGGAACTATCTGAGCTCCGGCTGCTGCTTTGTGTCCGTGTATGAATGTCACTGAATATCCCAGCGGTGGCTCCAGCTCTCCAGGTAATGTGTCTGCACGGACTTGTGAGGCGCCACGGTGTGGAGGCAGCAGGAACCTGAACCAGTCCCTCTCCGTGTGCGTCCCAGCTCCGTCACCTGCCGTGTATGTGAGGTTGGAGAAATGACCTGGGCTTTGCAGCCTCTGCGTTTGTGTGGTGATCTATCTGCCGCACGGCCCCTTGTGAGCACTGACAGGGTTCGCACCCACCCGCGGCCCACTGAGGCATCTGGAAAACACAGACACTCCACAGCTACGGTACCGGCACCACTCTCTGACCTCCCCCAGGGAGAACCCGCTCTGTCTCCAGTAAGACGATGTGGAACCGACTGCTGTGAAACACGCCGCAGTCCCACTGCGCGCTGCCCGTGGCTAGCTCTCCAAGGTGGCGGGAGCGGTCCTCCTGCCTGTGGTGGGCTTAGAGCGAAAGGAGGCAACAGGACGTGGAAGGAGGGGAGAGGGTCCCTTCGGAACTCTTATTCCCCACACTCCCTCCCTGTCCAGTTGCCTCGGTTCTTGTCAGATGGGCTCTGCTCCGCACTCCTTCCTTCTGTCCTCTCCTTCCCTCTTGCTCCTGAGAGCTCTCCTTTCTCCTGCCCTGAGGGCCTGGCGCGCGCACAGTGCCTTTGACATCCCCAGCCCATCATGTGGCACTGTGGCTGCCGCGTCCCGTCCCCTGCCCACCTTTGTCATTTACCCCTGCATTAATCTCGGCTCTCACAGTGGACTGCGCCACTGTTTCCCTGAGGGGCTTTGACTCACCTGACATCAGGGGTACAGTGGCCACTGAGGGGCAGAGGTGGGGCGGGGATGGGACCTGACCGGGGCTGTGCCTGAGACTCGCTTGCTGTCTTCTAAGTTTTTTTATATGTAAGTATTGAATTGTTCCACATAGAATTGTTCCACAACCATTCTGGAAACCAGAAACACACTTTTTTGGTAAATAACATAATTCTATACTCATTTCTTCAAGTACTAACACACAATCCTGTAAGAACACCTCTGCTGGCCTATGAAAGGCGCATTGGTTCAAAGTGCTCAGGAGGAGGAAATGGTAGGAAGTCAAAGGTTCCTGGCATCACTGGGAACAGAGTGGTTTTCTACTAAGAACAAGAGGTTCAGAGGAGCTACTAAATTAAATTATAGGAAATGTGTAACAGTTTACCATTTTGACCCATAACATGGATTTTCTAGTGTTTAACTGACAGATTCTTGCTATCTTTTAAGAGAAAATGACTTTCAGTTCCTTTCCTATTGCTTGGGAATATTTTCTCCTTACTCTAATGATGGATACCGAGGTTTTCTCTATTGATTTCTTTGATAAGATATCTGACAAGCCAGTACTTGAACTTAATTATGATATTTAAGTTTTATTTGTGAGCTCATTGTATACATGGTAGCAACTTTGTACCCTGTATTTACCATGTGAGAACTTCTGGTACACATACTCACACAAATGAATGCATTTCCAGAAGATGAAACTCAATGACTACTGGAGCCAGTGCTAGAAATATGTGACCTATTCAGAATTCCAAACACACTTGATTAGGTCAATACTATTTGTTCAGTAAAACATTCTACCCTCAGTTAAAAATGTATGTAGAAAAACATCTATTGTAGCAATAAATACTCCTTTTTATTCTGCTGATTAGTTTTAATTGTACTTCTTATTGAAACTAAGGTAGCCTATTAATTTGTCGACAGTACAGTCCAATCCTTTGGAATGCTAGTTTGCACAATCCAATATTTAAGCTTAAAAAGAGATGCTTGTTTGAGGTTAAAGAAATACCAGCCACTCACATAGGAGCCAAGATTGTGCCATGGATTTGGACCCATGCGTGGAGGCAGTGAGGACTGTCTGGAGTGTCACTGCCCCAAAGGGACTATGTTCTGATTTGGAGAGAAGTTTAAAAACCTATTCTCTGAAACAACCAGTGCTAATGCTATCAATACGATATGAAAAATCTTTTGCAGATGTGATATACTAAATGATAATCTTTATAAGCATTATTATAAGGCAAAATTATCTTTTAGAGGCATCTACATTTTTATCAGCAAGAAGCCCTTCTAAATGTATGTAAAAATTCAGGACAAATTTAGTCCAGTTAACTCTGAGACATTTGTGCTAAACAAAAAAGCGATTTGCGATGAAAAGTTACATGAAGTTTCTGGGGCGATCTGTCTGTGAAATCTATCCGTGTAGTCCTGTTCTGTGCCTGTGGATTTGTTGAACAGGAAAGTTCAGCGTCCGTTCTCTTACACGTCTTAGCTTCCTGTGGCTGCTGTACCGACTTGCCATCACCTCGGTGACTCAACACAGCAGAAACTCATTGTCTTCCAGCTCTGGAGGCCAACAGTCTGAAAGGAGACTCCCTGGGCCAAAATCAGGGAGTTGCCAGGCCCGTGCGGTCTTCCTTATCTCTTTTGGCCTCCGGTGATGCTGGCATGCCTTGGTCTGTGGCCCGGACACGGCGGCTCTCTCGGCTGGCCTTGTGCAGTCTCGCATCACGCTCCCTCTCGCCTCATCTCCCACTGCCCGCGTCTGGTAAGGTTTCCTATGACTGCATTTCACTCAGGATCTTCAGTGTAATCACACCCATACAGACGTTTTCTCTACGTAAGTTCATTTATAGGCTCCAGGGTAAGGATGTGAATAACACTGGGGTGGGGCATCTTCTGGACGACAGTAATAGGGGACAGTGGGTAGAGCAGCATAGCAAACACCAGGGACCAGGAGTTGGTGAACCAGAGTCAGGTCCTTGCTGTGCTGCCATCCGTCAAGCTTTCCCTGGGAAAATCACCTATTGGAGACGCACTTTCTTTGTCTATAAAGTTGGTGTTGAGTTTAAGGAAGTAATCACTAAGTTCTTTTCATTTTTAAACTCGTGTTAGGCAGAGGTAGGACATTCTGCTGGTGTGTTTATCTTCCTTTCTGCAAGGATAGAGGGGGAGAGGGTCGCACTTTGTGGTGGGTAAGACTTTCCAGCCACGGCACACTGCGGATAATGGTGGAAGCAGGGAAGGGCCCTGGCCTGGGTCCTGTACCTGCAAGGTGTAGAGGAGATGGTCTTTGTTCCCCTTCCGAGGTCACGGACCACCTTCTGACTGCTAATTCTGCTGCTCCAAGAGTTTGACTTGGGTAAATCCTGCCCTCAGAAGAACTATGACTTTCGTTGTGCACTGATGAATTGTCATTCCCCTAGGAGGCTGGCAACAGTGATTTCCTAGCCCTGGCCCCGGCCCCTGCACATTGAGCTAATCACATGCTGTGAAGAAATCTCTGAGTTTGAGTTGCCCGGTGAGCCTTATCCCGAAAGAGTCTGGCATTCATGAATTTATTTAACAGATATTTATCTAACTGCAATCCTACTGATGATGATGAAAATGATATCTGTTATACGTTGAAGACTTCTTCTGTGAGATACCGAATTAGTTTCCCTTGCTTTTCCCAATTTTCCAGTGAAATAAGGTCCTGTGCAGCACAGGGTCATTGAGCACTCACTGTGTGTCATGCTCGGGATTGACGTTGGGGATAGAAGGATGAGAAGGGCCCTTGGCTTGCAGGAACTTAATGTTGAAAAGAGGGACAAATATTAAGCAAAGAATCGCAGAAATAAACATGACTTTAAAAGTTGTCAAATGCTC